GGGGCACGCATCCGGCAAGCTTTGTGATTGCTGTGTCCGCTGATTTCAGACCACGATAAAGAGCCAATCACAGCTGAGCACATTGTAAGCTGACTTGCCCATTTTCAGCAGCCCTTTCCTCATGCACTGTCAGTGTGAGAGCTGGTAACCGGCGATTCTGACGGGGGACATTTACACTGATTAGCAGTGCAGCCCAATCAGTGCCTACTTATCCGTGCCCATGTTTGCAGCCTATCAGTGTCCATCAGTACAGCCTATCAGTGTCCATCAGTGCATCCCATCAGTACAGGCGCTCAGTGTCCATCATTGCAGCCTACCAGTGTCCATCAGTGCATCCCATCAGTGCAGTCTATCAGTACAGGCTCTCAGTGTCCATTATCGCAGCCTAGCAGTGTCCATCAGTGCATCCCATCAGTGCAGCCTATCAGTACAGCCTACCAGTGTCCATCAGTGCAGTCTATCAGTACAGGCTCTCAGTGTCCATCATTGCAGCCTATCAATGTCCATCAGTGCAGTTTTTTGTGCTAGTAATGGTGGCATTCAGTGACTTAGTGGGACTGTGGCAGACATTCTGACACTGGGGGGAACTTAGTGTCACTGACATCCCCTGTGACACCAATACAGTGATCAGTGCTAATAAAAAGCACTGACACTGTACTAATGACACTGGGCAGGAAGGTGTTAACATGTGGGACGATCAAAGGGTTAACTGTGTGCTGGGAGTGGTTTACTGTAATCACACTGTTATGCAGATCCATACATACAAAGCAGTGTGCCAGAGCTGACAGGGGAGAGATCTGTTTTTTTTATACACGGGTCTCTCCCCCATTGGTGATACACGTGATCACTGGGTGCCGGTGGGGAATCAACGACCGGTGACTGACAGCCGAGGCATGGAATGGCGGCAGAGTAGGGCATGTGCACCCCCTGCCTGGAACTGCAAAATCACAAATATACACGTGATTTTGCACACCCATGCCACTATGTAGCAGTATTTCTGATATAGGGCGGCGTGGAAGTGGTTGAACTATTTTTAATCCTTATGCTGCTAGCATTAGTAAATGGGGTGTTGTTAACGTAAAATACACACCCGCAGCGGTTCGCATGAATGGGGTGCAATTGTGATGCGGTGCAGAATTCGCACTGAAACCGCTGCAAATTCCACACCGCATCAGTGTGAACCTGGGTCTCACAGTTTTGAAAACGGTTTCCAAAATATACTCACAGGAAGTAAAGGTGGCCGAAAAAAAAGACAAAGAAGTCCATGGAGTCGGCCCCATTTCTATTTTAAGGGCAGACGGAGATGTGACGGGTGTTGGACACCCCCAACCGGCCAACCCCAATCTCCCTAATCTGATTTCAGTAAAACCTCAATTTGGGTTTCTATACTTTTCACCGCTGTGCTGAATGAACCGGAATGTTCTCTCCAAGCTGAGCACACAAACATTGAATGGGAGAAAAAAAGAGCACACTGAGATCTCCCAGCACTGCTCACACCACCCCAGGATCCTCGGTCTGTATTGTACCAACCACAGTGGCCTATCATCCATGTGTGAAGGGTGGGCGGGGCACATGGGCCCCCAGGAAAAGGGGACCCACTGTGCCCTGACACACACTGCCCATATGGATTACAAAAAAAAAAAAAAAAAAAACATCCACATCCAACATTTCCCTGGGCCCCAAGTGGGTACAGCTATCTACCTGGGGCCCCAATCTGATTTCTAGGCAGCAGGAGCTTTGGCATTTTTCTTCTTTCATCTTTCAAGCAGGTGGTGGCAGCAGGCCGCAGATGCTGTGATTATAGTTTCGGCTGCCGCCGCCCACGTCTGTCGCCTGGAGACACTGGCTCAGGAGCAGGGATATCTTGGTGACCCAAGAACAGGGGTGAGAGGATGCCCAAGGGTACTGATGAACCGAGGACAACTTCCTGCAACTATTTACAAGCCTCCACTACAACACAGTCTCTGTTGGAGAGCTAGCCAGGGTCTCCTTAATGTACCACCCTAGACCCTAGATGACCCTTCAACCAGCAATCTGGAGGTATCCCTGAACAGGAGATCTGGTGTCTGTTGGAGAGCTAGCCAGGGTCTCCTTAATGTACCACCCTAGACCCTAGATGACCCTTCAACCAGCAATCTGGAGGTATCCCTGAACAGGAGATCTGGTGTCTGTTGGAGAGCTAGCCAGGGTCTCCTTAATGTACCACCCTAGACCCTAGATGACCCTTCAACCAGCAATCTGGAGGTATCCCTGAACAGGAGATCTGGTGTCTGTTACTTTAAAAGTGGACAGCCCCAAACAGGACCAAACCAGGGTTTTGCCTTAAATTTGACCTTCTGTTTTTCCTTCAGTCTTGTACAGTTGTAGCGGCTCCTCTCCTGGACTGAAATGGCTTCCTCTGATTTCACTGCACACTGTGAGCTTCTCATTAGAAGCTACAGCAAGTCAGATAGACCTCCGCCTCATTTCCTGGCTGGAGGATATCCATCATGTATTTAATGAAGACAGAAGAAATTTTATTTCAAAATTGATTGGGCATGCTGATGAGGATGGGAGGGAGGAACCACTGCTGGCAAAATTTGAACTGATTAAACCTCACCTAGAAGATTTTGGGTCCCCATTGTAGATGGAGTTCATTATTGTATTCTGAAGACAAAACTAATCAATCCTACGTGTTTAGGTAGATAATGAAGAGACAGTAGGTTACAGGATCTAATTTTTTTATTGAAAAATAACTTAGTACAATTATAATATTTCTACAGCAAAATGGCCTTCCACCCCCGCAGCCCGCCTCCTGTCCAGTAACATTACTGATTCACGAGAAGCTGGAGACAAGTCTGACACATAGACTCAACAGCGCCAGTTCCTAGCAATCTGATTGGCTGCGTTTCGGCCTGCCATAAATAAACCAGTGTTTAAGGCTTTAGGCCAACTTGCTTTTTGTAGCAATAAACAGTGTTTCCCGTAAGACTGCACTTGTCCGTTCCTCACCTGGCGAAGAGTGCTGCAAAGGTTTAGGCATTATAAGTTGGTAATTGTCTGAGATTTATTGTCTACAGCTTTATAATTGCTGCCAATGCCAGCTATTAGAACGATCAATAGCTTTTCCTAAGCAGTTTCAAGTCTATAGCAAGTTGAGATACTACATAAAATTGTATATTATTAGCTTGGAAGAGTCTTCTTCCATCAATAAACCACTTCCTGTGTTTCTTCATAGAGCTTAACAAAAATATAGATTGCCCTTTGCTGCTCTATCGGGCATTGCTTCCTTCAAGGACTGCTGAACTCAGAAATGTTTTCAGGCGCTGGTCAATAAAGGTTTGTAATATTTATCCTGGATCTGGTCATTACTACGATGACCAGGTAGGGTAGATAACCTATATGGCCAATAGCTTGTGGACAACTGACCAACAAACCAATATGGCCAATAGCTTGTGGACAACTGACCAACAAACCTATATGAACTTGTTGGAACCATGGAGTTCCCTCGTGCCCTATATGGCTAGAACAGCCTCCACTGTTCTGGGGCGACTTTCAGAAGATTTGGAACTGTGTTTGTGGGAATTTACCCCCCATTCAACCACAAGCATTTATGAGGTCAGGTCATGGTGTTGGGTGAAAAGATCTAGCGTAATGTCAGCCTTCCACATCAGGTGTTCAGGTAGGGTGAAGGTGGTTTTGTGCAGGACACTTGAGTTCCTCCACACCAACCTGGTCAAACTATGTCTTTATGAAGCTGGACATCTATATGAGGTCAGATACTGATGTCAGATGAGAAGACCTGGCTCATAAAAGGCTATTCCAATTCACCCTAAAGATCTTCAGTAGGCTTGAGGTCAGGACTCCATGCAGACAACTTTAGTTTCTTCACACCATAATGGTAAAAAACATGTCTTATGCAGCTGGCTTTGTGCACAGTCATTCTGGAATAGAAAAGGATCTTCGCCAAACTGTTACCACAAAGATGGATGACCACAATGGTCTATAATGTCTTTGTATGCATTAATGGTACCCTTTCCTGAACTCCATTATTTGGAGAGGGGTGTACATATTTTTTGGCCATGTAGTGTTTATATCAACAGTTTTACCTGTCAGAATATTTGTAATTCTTCTTGGCAAGTCATGTGATTCACCTACCTCTGCCATACAGTATAGCCATGAAGGTGACACCATTGTAAAGGTCTAGATCCTCCAGGGTCACCTCTCCACTATACTCACTGGACAAACTGCATCACGCATCTGAGTCATTGCCCAATGAAAAGACAGGTGACACAGAAAGCTGTGAAGCTGAACCAGAAAAGGTGGTGTCCCCTTCCAGGCCGTGCATTGATCTCTTCCAGTTGTGAGCGAATGAAGACATTCGAACAACATTACTAGTCTTTACAAGGGTAAGACAGTTAACACATTTTTAGCTGTCTGGCTGGAGTCCAGCTTGAATTCTGAAATGCTGTTACCGGAAAACTACAAATGAAGATAAAATAAATCCTACTGGGCTTAAAGAAAGTTTGAAAATAGCAGCACACATAAAAATAAAAATGTTGCAAGGTGCAATCTAACCTGATGGCTGTATTGGCTTATGAAGAAACCTTTTTCTGTCAGAAGTTGTTAGCCAGTATAACATCTACATTCTAATTGTCGTAGCCCTATATTATTACCCGTAAGTCAGAATTACAATTCATATAGTCGTCAGTTAAAGAAAAGCTGTACTGAGAGAAGTATGGGAGCTGTTACTGATAATCTCCTTCATATAATACCAGTTTCAAGGTTCTCTCTGGCTTCTATACTTCCTGAGTCGCTCACAGAAACGAGCACAGTGAACAGAATAGGGTCTGAACCTCTGATCTGTCGGTTTCAGTTAAGAAACCATTGAGGTTACTGGATTAGCAAGCCAGCCAGGAAACTAGCATTTTCAGATGGAGACGTTAGCAATGGCAGCTTCCCTATTTCCCCACGACTGCATTCCTTTAACTGTATTGTATCAATTTTTTGACATAATTCATTTAGAAATCATCCTGATCACTGACATTCTCCTGGTCAGAAGGAACGTTCTCAGTTTCTTCCTCACGAACAAAACACTCTTCAGCTTTGGACACTTGAATCATTTCCGAGAAGCTCTGTTCCAGATCCTCAAGATCCTTAGGTTTATGGACAATCCTCATGTCATGCTCCAGCTCTGGCAGATCGGTCAGACCCATCTGGGAGATGCTTCTCTGGTTTCCATCATGGTCTTCTGGGAGAACATCATCCACAGGTGACATCTTCTCCAACAGCTGGGTGTTTTCTTGTGATTCGGAATGTGTCTCTTCATGATCATCCTGAAAGAATAAGAAGTCATCTTTTTGTTGAGAAGTGTCAGGCTCATCCTCAGGAAGGTGAGTAACAGCTTCAGGTGACTGTTGGGTGGCTTCAAAGTCCTCCTGACCACTTAGAACATTGTTGTGGTCCAAATCTCTTGCTCCAAGGTAAATGTGGGAACCACTTGGTCCAGGGTTGTCTTCTTCATCTAAGCCATTCTGACTTTTGTCATGGAGTTGAGGCTCATTTTCCTTTCCATCGAGGTATCTTAGGTTAGATTTGTAGTCCCTTATAGAAAAGTCTTGGGAAAGTAAACCATCATTCTTCATTGCATGAGGAAGGACAAAATGATCTCTAAAATTTCTTCTGGTGCTAAAGTTGTGATCTACAAAAAGTTCAAGTTTCTTCTCATCCTTAGAGTCCAAGTCAGCCCTGAGAGTGTCCAGCAAGTGGCGCATTTTCCCCTGCAGATCAAAAGGATAATCAAAATAAATGACTCTAGCTGAGCTCATTCAATACATCATTTTTGCCTTGTAGTGGCTACAAGAAGCTGTCTAGATAACACTTGAAGTTTAAGTCCAGCCAAAACTTTTTTTTTTAGCTTTGGATGGAGTGGTGAAGGTTTAGAACCCCTGTCAGACACACAGACTGCAATAAAAACCTGACAGGGGTTCTATCCTTGCCCTACTCTATTAAAAATGCAAAACATTTTTGGCTGCATTGCTCTTGGAGATTTTTTCCTCACTTCTTCGTATTTTTTCATTTTACGTGTGCAGCAAAAGGTAAGGAAAAATCTGTCACAAACGGAAATAATCTTTTCTAAATGTAATAGTGCAACAAGGAGTTTTTTTTCGTGGCACTTGAGTTCCATGATCACGGGAAGCAAGTAGACATCATAACCACAAGAAAGCAAAAAAGGCAACATAACCATGAGAAACAAGAATCCACCGTGACCATTAGAAACAATGAGGAACTATTACCAAGAGAAAAAAAAAGCACCATGACCATGGGAAGCAATAGGCACCATGGCTATGCAGAAATTCTCTAAACGGGAAATGGTAGAATAAGATAAAGGGCCACAGGAAAGATCCATAGTGTAGTGATTGATATCAGAGTAAGCGTATGGTATATATCTTCACATCTGGGATCAGGCAACCTCTTGATATGCTTGTGTCTGTCTTTATTCAGAAAAAGATGGTTGGTCGCGCTTGATAGAGGCATTGAGCCACCATGACCGATAGAGGCATTGAGCCACCATGGCAACGAGAGGCAATTAGCCACCAAGACCATTCGAGGCACTAAACCACCCTGACCGTTAGAGGCAGTGGGCCACCGTGACCTTTAGAGGCACTGAGCCACCGTGGCCGATAGAGGCACTGAGCCACCGTGGCCGATAGAGGCACTGAGCCACCGTGGCCGATAGAGGCACTGAGCCACCGTGGCCGATAGAGGCACTGAGCCACCGTGGCCGATAGAGGCACTGAGCCACCGTGGCCGATAGAGGCACTGAGCCACCGTGGCCGATAGAGGCACTGAGCCACCGTGGCCGATAGAGGCACTGAGCCACCGTGGCCGATAGAGGCACTGAGCCACCGTGGCCGATAGAGGCACTGAGCCACCGTGGCCGATAGAGGCACTGAGCCACCGTGGCCGATAGAGGCACTGAGCCACCGTGGCCGATAGAGGCACTGAGCCACCGTGGCCGATAGAGGCACTGAGCCACCGTGGCCGATAGAGGCACTGAGCCACCGTGGCCGATAGAGGCACTGAACCATTATGGTCATGAGAAGCAATTAGCCACGAAGACCATTCGAGGCACTAAACCACCATGATCATGAGAAGAAATGGCCCACCATGACCTCTAGAGGCATTGGCCCACCATGACCTCTAGAGGCATTGGCCCACCATGACCTCTAGAGGCATTGAGCCTCCATGACCATCGGAGGCATTGAGCCTCCATGACGATCGGAAACATTGAGCCTCCATGACCATCGGAGGCAATGACCAACATGGTAATGAGAGGCAATTAGCCACCAAGACCTTTCGAGGCACTAAACCACCATGATCAGGAGAAGAAATTAACCACCCTGACCGTTAGAGGCATTGGGCCACCATGACCTTTAGAGGCACTGGGTCCCCATGTCCACTAAAGGCATTAGGCACCATGACCATTAGAGGCATTGGGCCACCATGATCTCTAGAGGCATTGAGGCACCATGATCATTAAAGGCACTGGGCCACCTTAACCTCTAGAGGCATTGGCCCACCGTGACCATCGGAGGCATTGAGCCTCCGTGACCATCGGGGGCAATGCCCCATCGGGGGCATTGAGCCTCCGTGACCATCGGGGGCATTGAGCCTCCGTGACCATCGGGGGCATTGAGCCTCCGTGACCATCGGGGGCATTGAGCCTCCGTGACCATCGGGGGCATTGAGCCTCCGTGACCATCGGGGGCATTGAGCCTCCGTGACCATCGGGGGCATTGAGCCTCCGTGACCATCGGGGGCATTGAGCCTCCGTGACCATCGGGGGCATTGAGCCTCCGTGACCATCGGGGCATTGAGCCTCCGTGACCATCGGGGGGCATTGAGCCTCCGTGACCATCGGGGGCATTGAGCCTCCGTGACCATCGGAGGCATTGAGCCTCCGTGACCATCGGAGGCATTGAGCCTCCGTGACCATCGGAGGCATTGAGCCTCCGTGACCATCGGAGGCATTGAGCCTCCGTGACCATCGGAGGCATTGAGCCTCCGTGACCATCGGAGGCATTGAGCCTCCGTGACCATCGGAGGCATTGAGCCTCCGTGACCATCGGAGGCATTGAGCCTCCGTGACCATCGGAGGCATTGAGCCTCCGTGACCATCGCAGGCATTGATCCTCCGTGACCATCGCAGGCATTGATCCTCCGTGACCATCGCAGGCATTGATCCTCCGTGACCATCGCAGGCATTGATCCTCCGTGACCATCGCAGGCATTGATCCTCCGTGACCATCGCAGGCATTGAGCCACCGTGACCATCGCAGGCATTGAGCCACCGTGACCATCGCAGGCATTGAGCCACCATGACCATCGGAGGCATTGAGGCACCGTGACCATTAAAGGCACTGAGTCACCATGCCCATTGCAGACATTTAGCCACCGTGACCATTATAGGCATGAATCACCATGACCATTAGACGCATTGAGCCACCATGACCATTAATGGCATTGAGCCACCATGACCATTAATGGCATTGAGCCATCATGACCATTGCAGGCATTGAGCCATCATGACCATTGCAGGCATTGAGCCATCATGACCATTGCAGGCATTGAGCCACCATGGTAATGAGAAGCAATTAGCGACTAAGATCATTAGAGACACTGAGCCACCATGATCATGAGAAGAAATGACCCAACCTGACCATTAGAGGCATTGAGCCATCATGGTAATGAGAAGCAATTAGCCACCAAGACCATTAGAGACATTGAGCCACCATGATCATGAGAAGAAAGACCCAACGCTGACCATCAGATGTATTGAGCCACCACGACCATCGGGGGCACTCAGCCACCACGACCATCGGGGGCACTCAGCCACCACGACCATCGGGGGCACTCAGCCACCACGACCATCGGGGGCACTCAGCCACCACGACCATCGGGGGCACTCAGCCACCACGACCATCGGGGGCACTCAGCCACCACGACCATCGGGGGCACTCAGCCACCACGACCATTGAAAACACTCAGCCACCATGACCATTGGAGACATTGAGCCACCATGATAATGAGAAGCCATGAGTCACCATTACCATTAAAGGCAGTGAACCACCATGACCACTAGAGGCACTAGGCCACCATGGTAATGAGAAGCAATGAGCTACCATGGATCAAGGCACTAAAGGCACTAAGCCACAATAGTATTGAAAACAATGAGCCACCATGACCATAAAAAGCAGTGAGCAGCCTTACCTCATCTAAACAATGTCTGTTTTCTTCAAGGTGACGTTCAAACACTCGATCTAGAACTCTTTACAGAAAAAAAGCCATCATCAGATATTTAAGATTTGAAGATAACACCCTTCAGCCATCCCAAATCTATAGGCACTCACCTGTCCGAGAACAATCCCAGAGACATGATTTCATTGGTCACATCAGCCACAAATTCCAAGTAAGCCAACTCTTCCTCTCTTAAAAAAACAATTAAAAAATAAAGATTTGTTCAGTAACAGTTTTGGCTGCTCAGGACAGTATTAATAAACTATTTTGAAGGAACATGCTACTTTTTTATCTAAATGCTATGATTTGGATACATTTGCGTACAAAAGAAAAATTTCCCACCTATGAAATAAATATGTATAATTACACAGCAAACCATTTTGTGATATAATATTAGAAAAGTTCTTTTCATGTTAATCTGCGGCTGTCAAGATATCAAAAGATATTATTAAAGTGCCAAAAATATAAAATGTTTTGGGTGTTCTGAGTAGTTTTCAAGAAAAAAAATTAAGATTTTTACATGCAGGACAGGAGTATCAGAATTGGCCCAGTAGGGAATTAAAGTCTCATTTATATTTTGATTGCTGGTGAAAAAAAAAAACAAAAACATGGGGGGGGTGATAAGCAGCTTTAATTTATTTATTTCAGGTACTTATATAGCGCCATCAATGTACGCAGCACTTTACATATATATTGTACATTCACATCAGTCCCTAACCCTCAAGGGGCGTACAATCTAAGGTCCCTAACGCTCAAGGGGCGTACAATCTAAGGTCCCTAACCCTCAAGGGGCGTACAATCTAAGGTCCCCAACCCTCAAGGGGCGTACATATCTAAGGTCCCTAACGCTCAAGGGGCGTACAATCTAAGGTCCCTAACCCTCAAGGGGCGTACAATCTAAGGTCCCTAACCCTCAAGGGGCGTACAATCTAAGGTCCCTAACCTCAAGGGGCGTACAATCTAAGGTCCCTAACCCTCAAGGGGCATACAATCTAAGGTCCCCAACCCTCAAGGGGCGTACAATCTAAGGTCCCTAACGCTCAAGGGGCGTACAATCTAAGGTCCCTAACCCTCAAGGGGCGTCCCCTAAGGTCCCCAACCCTCAAGGGGCGTACAATCTAAGGTCCCTAACCCTCAAGGGGCGTACAATCTAAGGTCCCTAACCCTCAAGGGGTGTACAATCTAAGGTCCCTAACCCTCAAGGGGCGTACAATCTAAGGTCCCTAACCCTCAAGGGGCATACAATCTAAGGTCCCTAACCCTCAAGGGGCGTACAATCTAAGGTCCCTAACCCTCAAGGGGCGTACAATCTAAGGTCCCTAACTCACATTCATACATACACATACTAGGGCCAATATAGACAGGAGCCAATTCACCTACCAGCATGTCTTTGGAGTGTGGGAGGAAACCGGAGAACCCAGAGGAAACCCACGCAGACACAGGGAGAACATACAAACTCCAAGCAGGTGGTGCCGTGGTTGGGATTTGAACCAACAACAACTCTAGTACTGCCAGGCAGAAGTGCTAACCATTTAGCCATTGTGCTGCCCATAATAAAATGCCTGGGTAAAAACTCAGACAGCAGCTATCAGAGTCTAAAAATGTGGTCTGCATACAAGTTCAAGCATAGATCTATACTCTGACAAAAAAAAAAAGGAAAAAAAAAAAAAACCCCCCCCCCAAAAAAAAAAAAACAACAACCCCCCTCCCTTAAAAAAAAAAACTGAAAAAAGAAAAAAAAAAAAAAAACCAGGAAGACACGATGGACCACTCGATCTTTTTTTCTTTTTTCTGCCTTTACCTTTCTATGTTCAGTTTTATCTCCCCAGGAACTAGTAATCAGGGCAACAGGCAACAGAGTGGCAGCTTCTACCAGAAACTTCTCCCACAGGCATTTGCTTCATCTAAAGATCTCACATCCTGGTGCAGACAGAACTCACAGCTTGAGAGAAAATACATTTAGAGTTTTGGCTTACGCTTCGTCATATCCTTCATTTATTTCAAGTGTCGCACTTTAAGCCCGGGTTCACACTGATGCGGTGCGGAACTCGCAGCGTTTTCAGTGCAAATTCCACACCGCATCAGAATCGCACCCCGTTCATGCGAACCGCTGCGGGTGTGTACGTTACATTAACAAAACCCTGAAAGTGGTCCACAAAACAGTGCGATGTGCAGAATCGGATCGCACAGGTGTGAATACCCATGCAATCTGATTCTAGTGCGGACCCAAAAAAGGGTCCTGCACCGTTTTGGTGCGGGTGCGATTAGAGCCGTACAAAATGTAAGGCTCCGATCGCACCGCATACAAATCGCATGTGATTGGCACAGGAATGCGGTGCGGTTTCTGTGTGAATCACATGCGATTTACCGCACCGCATATATGTGACCCCGGGCTGAATCCAATTAAATAATCAGGGTGTATAAATAAAAACTCCATGCTCCTAATTCCCCCCCAATAAACCTCCTGAACACAATACCAGCTGATACAATAAATCCTCAAGTACAACTTGCTATAAATGATATAAAATAAATCTACTGTATAGATTGGTTGAGATTGCGATTGGTTGAGCTTGTTCTCTAAGAAAATTGCACTTCTCTGCAAAGGATTACTATTCACACTTCTCAATTACTTTGTACATTCAGGCTCCATTCACACTGATGCGACTTGTCATGTGACTTTGGGGTCCAAAGTCCCATGACAAGTTGCCCCCCTCCCCCATGTTTCCCAATGGGTACCATTCATATCTGTGCGACTTCAAAGTAGTTCCTGCACTACTTTGGTCTGACTTTCATGCAACTTGAGGGCCATAGACTTCCACGTAAACCCTCCAAAGTTGCATGAAAGTCGCACCTGCATGCTCTGCATGCGACTTGTGTGCGACTTTGTACAGCAGAAACAATCATTCTTCATCAAAGCTAAAGTTGCACTCATCCAAATTCACGCTGTAAAGTCGCATTATTTTGAAGTCGCACAAGTGTGAATGGAGCATTAAGGTACAGTGGCTAAATGGTTAGCACTTCCGCTTGGCAGTACTAGGGTTGTTGGTTTGAATCCCAACCACCTGCCTGAAGTTTGCATGTTCTCCCTGTGCCTGCGTGGGTTTCCTCCGGGTACTCCGGTTTCCTCCTACAAGCCAAAAGACATGCTGGTAGGTGAATTGGCTCCTGTCTAAATTGTTCCTAGTATGTGTATGTATGAATGTGAGTTAGGGACCTTAGATTGTACACCCCTTGAGGGTTAGGGACTGATGTGAATGTACAATATATATGTAAAGCGCTGCATAAATTGATGGAGCTATACAAGTACCTGAAATAAAGGTATCATACGTAGTGGATAACTTTTATCATAAATAATCTAGGACAGCCCTTTGGAAGACTATTGTTCCAACTGACACCAATGAGGAGGCGCCATTGCTCCCACTTTCACCATTAATGGGACACTCTTCTTTCTACTGATACCATCGATGGGGCGTTATTCTTCCCACTGACACCAATGATGGGGCACTATTCCTCCCACTGACACCAATGATGGGACACTATTCCTCCCACTGACACCAATGATGGGGCACTATTCCTCCCACTGACACCATCGATGGGGCACTATTCCTCCCACTGATACCATCGATGGGGCACTATTCCTCCCACTGACACCAATGATGGGGCACTATTCCTCCCACTGACACCAATGATGGGGCACTATTCCTCCCAGTGATACCATCGATGGGGCACTATTCTTCCTGCTAAGACCTATGAGGCGCCATTGCTCCCACTTTCACCATTAATGGGACACTCTTCTTCCCACTGATACCAATCGATGGGGCATTATTCCTCCCACTGACACCAATGATGGGAAACTATTCCTCCCACTGATACCATCGATGGGGCACTATTCCTCCCAGTGATACCATCGATGGGGCACTATTCTTCCTGCTAAGACCTATGAGGCGCCATTGCTCCCACTTTCACCATTAATGGGACACTCTTCTTCCCACTGATACCAATCGATGGGGCATTATTCCTCCCACTGACACCAATGATGGGAAACTATTCCTCCCACTGATACCATCGATGGGGCACTATTCCTCCCAGTGATACCATCGATGGGGCACTATTCTTCCTGCTAAGACCTATGAGGCGCCATTGCTCCCACTTTCACCATTAATGGGACACTCTTCTTCCCACTGATATCATCGATGGGGCACTATTTTTCTTACTAAGACCAATGATGAGGCACTATTTCTCCCACTGACACCATTGATAGGGCACTATATTTGCAATTGATACCACTGTTCCTCCTGCTAAAGCCAACAACGGGGCACTATTCCTCCTCCAATGGAGCAGTGTTTACTCCCACTGATGCCGGGACATTTTCTACTCACACTGGAAACAGTGTGGCCCCCCCTAAAGCCTTAGGAAAGTCAACTGGCCCTTAGTTTAAAAAGTTTGGAGACCCTCAATCTTTTTTTACTCCACAGGAGCCCTGAACTGACAAAGAGGATAGGAAGCCCTTCATTAACCTCCCTCTCCCATTCCCCCAATTTATGGCATTTCCTTTTTTGTGATGAATTTGTGGAAAATCTGTCTTTCATTTTTTTTTTTCTTTTTTTGCTCATCTCACATTGACATTTAAATTTTAATGGAAAAATTGGTTGATGTGCACAAAAAAAGGCAAGAAAAACCTAGTTTGCTGATCTTTACAAACAGGCCTCTATATTTATTTAACCCCCTTGGTGGCGCTTTAAGGTTTGTGATGCCAGGAGTCATGTGACCGCCGTGATTGGCTATCACAGCGGTCACATGATCAGAAAAGCTTTTGATCACATGTAGTGATCTGGTCTTTTCCTTGACACATCAGTAAATGTTCCAGGAACACGCATGGCACCTGCTCTAGGCACATGTATAGTTACATTGGGTACGCAAATATGCAGCCTTTTGGTGTCACGGTCCAGCCGCCGAGAGGCCGCATATTTGCGTACCGATGGCGCTAAGGAGGTAAATTAAATATAAACTCGATCAATAAAATCTCTTAAAAACTTTAGCATGTTAATGAATATTCCAGTCATTTTTAAAATCTGCAACTTTCATCAAAATAATCCCTTGTGATCCTGCCATTAGAGTCCTTAGGCAGGCACTTCCTGTTAAAGGGTGACAACAACCTGTCCTCATCTCTCAATTGTGCTCCTGCGTTGTCACCCTGTCACAGGGGCGGACTGACAATTCATGGGGCCCCCGGGCAATAGGGGATCATGGGGCCCCTGTGTCCTTGCCCAAACTCAAAAAAGCCCTATAAAAAAGGTACCAGGGGCATCTCATAGGGCCCCCTACTGACCCCGGGCCCTCGGCAGTGCCCGAGTTTCCAAATGGTCAGTCCGCCCCTGGGGGCTTCCGATGTAGACAAGTGACCATTTAAGCACACATTACACAGATATGGACCACTGTTGTCACCGTCAGTATACCCGCTCTAAGACACGTCATGCAGCTATCGCTTGAGGGTGTGTAGACAGAAAGTGGCTGCAAAGAGGCTGCAGGAGGTCAGCAGAGCTGAGATGCAGCAAAGGAAACAGAAAGCAAGGCTTATGATATGAGAAAAATAAATGTTATTTGGTTAAGGTTTACATCCACTTTCGAAACACAAGAGCTTGTTTAGAAAATATTTTGCTTGAATACTTACTCGGAATGGATCCTCTGCATTGTGGGGGATGGAGATTTAAATTCATTAAAAGACATCCTGGGAAGATAGGGAATATATAAAAAAAAATGTTAAAATACTTCTTTTCTAACACGACACTTGTTTATTGTGCTATTTGTAACTTGAAAAATTTCAATTAAAATATTGGAAAATAAAAAAAAAAAAATAAAAAAAAATAAAAATGTCAAAAACTATACAGAACAGGATAGTATATATATATATATATATATATATATATATATATATATACACACACACACACACATACATAAAAACAGAAAGTATTCGGCCCCCCTTACCTTTTTTTCATTGTTGTTATGTTGCACTCTGATACTGCAGTTGTTTAAATACACATTTTTTTTCCTAATTAATCTACACTCCGTACCCCACAATGGCAAAGTGAAAACAGAAATGTCATAACATTTATTAAAAAGAAAAAACTGAAATCTAACATTGGCATAAGGCTGGCCATACATTATACAAAATTTTCTGCCCAATTTCCTTTAGATTTACATTGGCATAAGTATTCAGTAAATCTAAACCCTTTGCATGTACAACACTATTGCAACAAACTTTTAGCTCAGGTGCCTTCCATTTCTCTTGATCGCTGCTGAGATTTTTGTACTCCTTTATTGGAGTCCACCTGTGGTCAATCGAATTGATTGGACATGATTTGGAAAGGTGCACCCCCCCTCTCTATAAAAGGCCTCAGAGCTGACAAAGCATACTGTATCAGAGCAAAAACCATGAGGTCATAAGAACTGCGTGCAGAGCTCAGAGACAGAATTACTGCAAGGCACAGGTCTGGGAATAGGCTACAAAAAAATTTCTGCTACACTGAAGATACTCAAGGTGGCCTCCATAATTCTCAAATGGAAGAAGTTTGGCACAACCAGGACTTTTCAAGAGTTGGTCGCCTGGCCAAACTGAGCAATCGGGGGTGAAGGGCCTTACTAAGAGAGGTGACCAACACCTCCACCAATATCAGGAGCTGAGCAGCTTGGGACCTAAAGATGGTACCTCACACGTCGTCATCCCCGCATGCTCCCATTTTAATCAAGGAAAAATTGCCTAACAGAAACAAAACTTAACCATTACCCGTCCAACACTACCACACGTCTAACAGACTCTCACCAATCAAATTCAGACATGCCTTCAGAGTCTGCATCTGATTGGTGAAACATCAGGTCACACAGGACATTCAGGAACTAGACCAACCCAACACAGATGTTCAATGAAGACTAATACCTGGAGGCAGAGAATCGGTGTTGGTCGGTGTCCACTTCCTCATCACTTAGAAGGGAGTCTTCTGGGTCTTCAACCTAAAAACATACAAAGAAATTCAGCAGCCCCATTATTCTGGCCATAGAAGGGCAGATTAAGACAGGCATCTGGCCGTCCTCCGAGGACCTGTGGTCCAGTTGCAATGCTGCCTATGGACCAAGTTGAGGGACACTGAAAAGCGATCACAGCTTTTCCTAATGTGCATTGCTCCCTTGATGGTCCAATCAATGTAGAATCTTGTTTGGTGATGAGGGATCTCGCGGGTTAGGGCAGCAGTGGAACAATATCATAGGAGACCTTGGGCAGAGCTTAGCTATCATGACATGGCCCATAGCCCTGAGTGTTAAGCCTCATACACACGATGAGAATATTGGACGAATGATTGTCCGTTTTGTTTCTTCATGCTAGTCTGATATCTCACGGCTTCAACTACCACCTCTATGCCGACGACACACAAATCTATCTCTCAACCCCCCACCTCACCCCCTCGGTCTCTGCCCTAATCACACACCTACTGAGCGACATATCAGATTGGATGTCGCTCCACTTCCTTAAACTGAACCTCTCCAAAACCGAGTTTCTTGTCTTCCCCCCCAGCCCAGACCCCACCCCCCATTGACTTCTCCATCACATCCAACAACACCAATATCAAACCCGCCCTGCAGGCCAGAGTATTTGGTGTCATTCTGGACTCCAACCTATCCTTCCAGCCCCAAGTCCAATCTTTAACAAACTCATGCAGACTTCACCTCCGCAACATCGCCAAAATCCGCACGTTCCTAACCCCAGAAACCACTAAACAGCTCATCCACTCCCTCATCATATCACGACTCGACTACTGCAACTCCCTCCTCACTGGCCGGCCTCGCCACAGGCTATCCCCGCTTCAGTCCATCCTGAATACGGCTGCCAGACTCATTCACCTTTCCAACCGCTCCATCTCCGCCACCCCCCTCTGCCAATCCCTGCACTGGCTTCCGATTGCGCAACGGATCAAATTAAAAATCCTAACACTGACGTACAAAGCCGTCCACCATACTGCCCCGAACTACATCACTGACCTAATATCCAAGTACCGCCCAACACGCACACTCCGCTCCTCACAAGACCTCCTTCTCTCTAGTTCCCTGGTCTCCTCCTCCCATGCCCGCCTCCAGGACTTCTCCAGGGTGTCACCCATCCTCTGGAACTCCCTGCCCCAACCCATCAGATTATCACCTACTCTCCTCTCCTTTAGGCGCACCCTGAAAACCCATCTCTTCAGGGAAGCCTACCCCACCCCCTGCTAACTTGCCAACCTCCTCCACTCTTCCTACCACTCCATCCCCCACAGCTATCTCCTCCTGTGCCACCATCCCCTCCCTCCTAGATTGTAAGCTCCAAGGAGCAGGGCCCTCGATCCCCTCATGTTTTGCATTGTATTGTTATTGTTCTGTCACATGTTCTGTCCCCCTTTGTAATGTACAGAGCTGAGCAAACTATTGGCGCTTTATAAATACTGTATAATAATAATATTGAAAATGAAGAAGTTCCCAAAGGTACAAAAAGTCTCATACAACAGAATACAACTTCGGGAGTGATGTAATGTATTGCAGGTCATCTAGAGCCCAAGGCAAACATGTCAAAATGTGCCCCCTACCACCTTCTCCAAGATGTAGAGCTGTATGTGCGTTATGTATCAGCAGGGCACGCGCTCTCAGCACATATGTTTTTTCTTACCTGAACGCAAATGTGCGGCCGCTCGGCTTGTAGGCCCAGATGCCGAGAGGCCGCACATTTGTGTGTGGCTGGTGTGAAGGGGTTAAAAATACAAATCTACACTTTTGGAATGCGTTTACGAATATATGTAAACATATATATTTGAAAAGACTTTCTGTTACAAAAAAATCTGAATATACTTTAAAAAATATATTTTTAAAAATATACATATTATTTAAATATATTCTTCAGATTTTGTTTAACATATAAAAAAGTAATTTTTACATATATTTGTAAAGGCATTCCAAAAATGTAGATTTGTATTTTTAAAGACAGACTGTATATTTGAAATGTATTTTTAAAAATATTTACATATATTTTGCAATAAAAACGCATTTCAACATGCAGTATATATATATATATATATATATATATATATATATATATATATATATATATATAAATATATTGCATATGTCCATTTCAGCATTTCAAATATATGTCCATATATTTGGGAAGAATATTTTTAAAATATATTTTTCTTCTACATGGGAATGGCTGTTTCTGGGACTTTGTTAGGACAGTGGACACTTCTGTGGCAGGAACAACACCGCCTGGCTGAGAGTGAGAGACGGCACAGCGGGTCATACGGCTGCCCTTCAGAAGCGCTGACACGCGAGAACAGAAGACGGATGAGATCTTTATGAACCATTAACCAATAAAATGTACAGACGGTCTGCAGGAAGGCCTCGGCGCGGTCTGTGGCTCTGACATGGATCAGCCAGACTCGCCGTTTTACTGCGCAATAACCTGGTACATCCCGTCTGTACTCCTCGTCTGTCTGAGGAAGACATTACTGAACAGATTTATCGGATACAAAACCCATGAATGTGTCCTGCAGGGTCTACAAAGGGGGTCAGCAACCAACAGATCATGATCTACCTGTAGATCTCAGCTAGGTGACAGGTAGATCTCGGTCTTGGCTTCCTGACCTGCCAGAGTGCAATGCAGAGGGACTACTTGTAAGATTGGAGCTGTAGTAGGGAGCAAGAGCTGCAGAAGCTGATGTCTCATCTAGTGCTGCTCCTACGCCCTGTCATGGTTGGTGGGTGAAGCACCTGCCAAGTATGACCTATCTGAGTGAATGAGGCTGGTCTGCAAGTTACATAGTTAGTCTGGCTGAAACAAGACAAAAGTCCATCCAGTTCAACCATTAAAAAAAAAAAAAGTTATAATCCTACACCTACCATTGATCCAGAGGAAGGCAAAAAAACCCAGCAAAGCATGATCCAATTTGCTCTTGTAGGGAAAAAATTCATTCCTGATCCCCCAAGAGGCAATTGGATATTCCCTGGATCAACTTTACCTATAAATGTTATATCCAGTTATATTCTGTGTATCCAAGAAACAATCCAGAACTTTCCTACAGCAATCCACTGAGCTGTCCACAACCAACTCTTGAGGGAGTCTATTCCACATTCTCACAGCTCTTACTGTCAAGAAACCTTTCCGTGTTTGGAGATCAAATTTCTTTTCCTCCAGACATAAAGAGTGCCCCCTTGTCCTCTGTGATGACCTCAGGGGGAATAACTCTACACCGAGTTCACTATATGAACCACTGATGTATTTATACATGGAGATCATATCCCCCCTTATGTATTATACATGGAGATCATATCCCCCCCCCTTATGTATTATACATGGTGATCATATCCCCCCCTTATGTATTATACATGGAGATCATATCCCCCCCCTTATGTATTATACATGGTGATCATATCCCCCCTTATGTATTATACATGGTGATCATATCCCCCCCTTATGTATTATTATACATGAAGATCATATCCCCCCCTTATGTATTACACATGGAGATCATACCCCCCCTTATGTATTATACATGGAGATCATATCCCCCCCTTATGTATTACACATGGAGATCATATCCCCCCCTTATGTATTATACATGGAGATCATACCCCCCTTTATGTATTATACATGGAGATCATATCCCCCCTTATGTATTATACATGGAGATCATATCCCCCCTTATGTATTATACATGGTGATCATATCCCCCCTTATGTATTATACATGGAGATCATATCCCCCCTTATGTATTACACATGGAGATCATATCCCCCCATTTAACTTAATTCTGTGTGAATGGGGGAAAAAACTGAATGCTCCACAGCTATAGTCTCTGCAGATCGAATTTGTGAATCTGGAAAATACCACATTATGGCCACAAGATGGTGAAGCCCATCATAGCACCATATGGTTTGCTGGATTGTTTGATATTCATAGATATTCACAAACTGGTTTTATTTAGCAACAACTTAAATTCACATGGACGGTCATACTAAGTTTCAATGAATGATTGTAAGATTCTTAGATTGTAAGCTCCCAGGATCAGGGCTCTCCTATCCAGGGGCGGACTGACCATTTGGAAACTCGGGCACTGCCCGAGGGCCCAGGGTCAGTAAGGGGCCCCATGAGATGCCCCTGGTACCTTTCATAGGCTTTTTTGAGTTTGGGCAAGGACACAGGGGCCCCATGATCCCCTATTGCCCGGGGGCCCCATGAGTTGTCAGTCTGCCCCTGCTCCTATCCCTCTTGTATTGAACTGTATTGTTGCTGTATTGTCTCCCTTTATATTGTAAAGCGCTGAGCAAAACTGTTGGCGCCATAAATCCTGTATAATAATAATAATGAATGTTACCTGTTCTCCATCTAGTGGAGGGTCTCTATTCGCTGCTCCATGTCGGCCCCTAAAACTGTAAAATGCACACCAGTTAGACTATTTACTATACTGTGAATACCCAGATCACAATATAGGACATTTAATAAAGTGGTTGCAAACCTCAGTCTATTGATGACTGGATGGGGCTGACCACTATACTGAGTGGTACCAGTGTTCAAGCTGGTTGCAAACCTGAGACATAAAATATGAAAAAAAAGCATATCCCTCTATAGTGTGTACTTGTCTCAATCCAGAGCACTAAGTGTCATTTCTGTCTGCTGCCTCCTTCCTCTGCTATCAGCAGTCACTTCTGAAACGTTTTCTTGACACCATGAGAAAAATGGTAACAGGGGAGGGGCCACCAGCAGATTGACAGCCTAAGCTCTGTTCCTGCAAGCTGTGTGGAGTGGGGGGTGTCTCTTCCCTCCAATCAGCTCTCAGAAGTCTCCTCACTGAGCTCTGCAGTGTGTAATTTAAACTATCCATCCCCTTGCTTTATAAATGCAGGACTTTGAATGGCTGTAGAGAAGAGAAGACTGCAGATAAACAGGTACAACTTATGTAGGAGGATTTGTTTCATGTCTGTGTATCACCTGAGGCCAGTCAGGGTAAGGGTTTTAAGGACATTCGTGACATGCGCTGATGCACTTCTAGCCATCCTAAAAAGGCCGGCCTCCCATTTAGAAAAACAAGAAAGATCCAACACATTTCGGGGGTTCGCTCCTGCTTCCTCAGGGTTTGGGTACAATGTGGCTTTAGAAAAGCCTGAACTCAAAGCGGTTTGGGAATACTTTTGTGGATCTCACATGAGAGCTTCATATGCATTACCCACTGAAAACATTACCTTACGTGAGATCTAAAAAAATATTTCCTTTGAGTCCAGGCATTGCTGAAGTCCCTTTATACCTAAGATGACCTGATGAAGGGGGAGTACACCCCCAAAACATTTTTTTTTTTAAATTGTTGATCAGCAAATGAAATACCTTTATGGACTCTATCATCACCGGTGATGGACTCTGTCTTCACCGGTGATGGACTCATCACTGGTAATCTTGGTAGGTCTTGGATGTTTCTCAAGACCCCCTCCTCTGTTTGGGGGGGTACCTTCATCACATGGGAGCAATCAACACCTACACCTTGTCTACAATCTTGGACACTAAACAAAAGGAGAACTAGTGCCTCCTACACAAAGCGTGCTTATTATAAAGAAGAAAAGACAGTCCTTGCCTCTTAGTATGTGACGGGCCTCACCTGCTTAGATCAGTCTGGACCTCAGCCTCATTCACCTCCTTCCTCTTCCTCCTGGGTGGGGTATAAAAGCGGCTCTGCGCCAGTGCGGACTTAGCCGGTGTCTTTAGAGTCCGCGGTGTAAAGGGCCGCTGCTTGCTGGTGAAGTGATGGGAGTGTTTCTCTATCAGGTCTCCGCTGTAGGTTTTCTCACGGTTGTCCTGGAATTTGCGCATGGCGGCGCCCCAGGTGGAGGAGCCAGAGAGGCCGCAGCCCATCCTGGAAGAAGCTCCGGAGAGGTCGGGGTGCCTCCTCCTGATGTCTGCGGCATGCTCCGAGGAATGGAAGTGTCTGGGCGAAGAGATGAAGGAAGTCGGGGAAGCCCCGGGATCCGAATACGAAAACTGTCTGTGAGTATTACGGTATCCATTATAGAGATCCTGTAAATAGACTTCAAGTGTTCATTCACTGGACTCAAAGGAGAAGGTTGGAGAATCACAAATTAATTTCATGTAACACAAACAGTAAAAATGTATCGCTTTGTAATGCTATTAAAGTGGAGCCTACTTAAACTGTAACCAGCAAACTGTATCATTAGTTAGACCTCATCTGGAATATGCAGTTCAGTTTTGGCCATCAATTCACAAAAAGAACATGTATAATACATAAGGGGGGATATGATCTCCATGTATAATACATAAGGGGGGATATGATCTCCATGTATAATACATAAGGGGGGGATATGATCTCCATGTATAATACATAAGGGGGGATATGATCTCCATGTATAATACATAAGGGGGGATATGATCACCATGTATAATACATAAGGGGGATATGATCTCCATGTATAATACATAAGGGGGATATGATCTCCATGTATAATACGTAAAGGGGGATATGATCTCCATGTATAATACATAAGGGGGGGATATGATCTCCATGTATAATACATAAGGGGGGATATGATCACCATGTATAATACATAAGGGGGGATATGATCACCATGTATAATACATAAGGGGGGATATGATCTCCATGTATAATACATAAGGGGGGATATGATCTCCATGTATAATACATAAGGGGGGATATGATCTCCATGTATAATACATAAGGGGGGATATGATCACCATGTATAATACATAAGGGGGATTGATCTCCATGTATAATACATAAGGGGGATATGATCACCATGTATAATACATAAGGGGGGATATGATCACCATGTATAATACATAAGGGGGGATATGATCTCCATGTATAATACATAAGGGGGGATATGATCACCATGTATAATACATAAGGGGGATATGATCTCCATGTATAATACATAAGGGGGGATATGATCTCCATGTATAATACATAAGGGGGGATATGATCTCCATGTATAATACATAAGGGGGGATATGATCTCCATGTATAATACATAAGGGGGGGGATATTATCTCCATGTATAATACATAGGGGGGATATAGAAGGGTGGGATATGATCTCCATGTATAATACATAAGGGGGGATATGATCTCCATGTATAATACATAAGGGGGGGATATGATCTCCATGTATAATACATAAGGGGGGATATGATCTCCATGTATAATACATAAGGGGGGATATGATCTCCATGTATAATACATAAGGGGGGGATATGATCTCCATGTATAATACATAAGGGGGGATATGATCTCCATGTATAATACATAAAGGGGGGATATGATCTCCATGTATAATACATAAGGGGGGGATATGATCTCCATGTATAATACATAAGGGGGGGGGATATGCTCTCCCTGTATAATACATAAGGGGGGGGGTATGATCTCCATGTATAATACATAAGGGGGGGGGGGGTATGATCTCCATGTATAATATGATTCTAATAACATCCACTACTCAAGCCCTGAAGAAGAGCTTAAGTGTTTTAAGGGAAAAGCCCCCCCCCACCTTCTTCAGGGTAGGAGCAGTGGATGTTATTAGAATCACCAGGAGATGGAACAGAAGACCTACGTTGGGGCATGATAAAGACAGTCATCCCTTAAGTGTAGTGAAACCCTTAAGAAGGGAGATGCCTTCCACCGAAATGCTTTGGTTGCATTTGGCGCTCTTAACCAATAACCTTTTCAAAAATAAGCGATAGAAGCTTTTGTACCAGGCACTCCTCAATATCTGCCTACTCCAGAGTTTTATCATCTGCTGAGCAATCCTTGTGTCACGATTAGAGAGTTAGCAGCTTAAAACCAGAAACCGTAGACATTATACCTAGGACCAGAACAAAGGTCCAAAAACAATATGTCTAGGACCAGAACAAGGCCCACCTACACTATGGCTAGGATCAGAACAAGGTCCACCCACATTATGCCTTGGAGCGGAACAAGGTCCACCTACACTATGCCTAGGACCAGAACAATGTCCATGTATACTTCGTATAAGACTAGAACAAGGTCCACATACACTATGCCAAGGACCAGAACAAGGTCCACATACCCTATAGCTAGAACCAGAACAAGGTCTATGTACGCTATGCCTAGGACCAAAACGAGGTCCACCTACACTATGCTTAGGATTAGAACAAGGTCCACCTACAATATGTCTAGGACAGAACAAGGTCCATGTATGCTATGCATAGGACCGGAACAAGGTCCATGTACCCTATGCCTAGTACCAGAACAAGGTCCACATACCCTATGCTAAAACCAGATCAAGATCCACATACCCTATGCCTAGGACCAGAACAAGGTCCACGTGCCCTATGCCTAGGACCAGAACAAGGTCCAAGTACCCTATGCCTAGAACAGAACAAGGTCAACATACACTATGCCTAGAACAGAACAAGGTCAACATACACTATTGCCTAGGACCAGAACAAGGTCCACATACACTATTGCCTAGGACCAGAACAAGGTCCACATACACTATTGCCTAGGACGGGTGTCGGCAACCTGCGGCTCCAGAGCCGCATGCGGCTCTTTTTTCATCTTTGCTGCGGCTCCGGAGCACACTGCCCACCAGTGGTCGGCAAGCCGCAGATCGCGAGCCACATGCGGCTCTTCTGTGTGCCGGGCGCCCGCTCCCCTCCCTCCTCAAAAATCCGGCCCGCGGAGCGTGGAACATTGGCTGTCAGGATGTAGGTGGGGCAGCCAGGATGTAGGCGGGGCAGAGTGACGAACTCCTCTCTCAGTCCGCCCTGAAGACCAGAACGGCGCGGGAACACAGCGAGAGGAACGCGCGGAGCAAAGGTAAGTGAATTGAGACAATATGGGGGATGAATTACTGTGTGGGGGATGAATTACTGTGTGGGGGATGAATTACTATGTGGGGGATGAATTACTATGTGGGGGATGAATTACTATGGGGGATGAATTACTATATGGGGGGATGAATTACTATGGGGGAAGAATTACTATATGGGGGAAGAATTACTATATGGGGGATGAATTACTATATGGGGGATGAATTACTATATGGGGGATGAATTACTATGGGGGATGAATTACTATGTGGGGGATGAATTACTATGTGGGGGATGAATTACTATATGGGGGATGAATTACTATATGGGGGATGAATTACTATATGGGGGATGAATTACTATATGGGGGATGAATTACTATATGGGGGATGAATTACTATATGGGGGATGAATTACTATATGGGGGATGAATTACTATGGGGAAGAATTACTATATGGGGGATGAATTACTATATGGGGGATGAATTACTATATGGGGGATGAATTACTATGGGGGGAATTACTATGGGGATGAATTACTATGTGGGGGATGAATTACTATGTGGGGGATGAATTACTATGGGGGATGAATTACTATGGGGGATGAATTACTATATGGGGGATGAATTACTATGGGGGATGTATTACTATATGGGGGATGTATTTTCAGTTTAAAAAAATGTGGCTGTCAAAATAAATTTCAATCGTGGTTTTGGCGAGATTTGGCTCAGTTGAAAAAAAAGGTTGCCCACCACTGACCTAAGGCTATGATTGTGATTATGAAGATACACTGTGGCCCTGATTAACCCTTTGCTTACTGGGCCCTTAAACCCCCTTCATGACCAGAGTGCTTTTTGCAATATATGCAGTGTCGGATTTGTTATAAATGTTGCAATGGGTTTTGCGGCTCCCAGTCTTTTTTTTTCCCTTCGGAAACGGGTCCAAGTGGCTCTTTATGTCTTAAAGGTTGCAGACCCCTGGCCTAGGACCAGAACAAGGTCCACATACACTATTGCCTAGGTCCAGAACAAGGTCACCCTACACTATGCCTAGGTCCAGAACATGGTCCCCCTACACTATGCCTAGGTCCAGAACAAGGTCCCCCTACACTATGCCTAGGTCCAGAGCAAGGTCCTCCTACACTACGCCTAGGACAGAACAAGGTCCACGTACACTACGCCTAGGACAGAACAAGGCCCACGTACACTATGCCTAGGACAGAACAAGGTCCACGTACACTACGTATAGGACTAGAACAAGGTCCACATACCCTATGCCTAAAACCAGAACAAGGTCCCCCTATATGCCTAGGATCAGAACAAGGTCCTCCTACACTATGCCTAGGACCAGAACAAGGTCCACTTACACTATGCCTAGGACCAGAACAAGGTCCTCTTACACTATGCCTAGGACAGAACTAGGTCCACGTACACTATGTATAGGACTAGAACAAGGTCCACATACCCCATGACTAAAACCAGAACAAGGTCCACGTACACTATGCCTAGGACCAGAGCAAGGATGGGCATTACCTAGGGTGTTCTGCATGAAAGGAGAACATCCCTAAAGTGGATTCAGCTTCAGTTTGTATTATATCAGATGCTGGACAATAATCTGCTGACACCCACTGGTCCATAGAAGTCTATGGATGGACTTACCAGGTCCGCCTGAAAAATGGACAGGTGGACCCCATTTGTCCGCTCGTATGAAAGAGGCCTTACAGAGCTTGCAGTGCTCCCCTGACCATGCCTTCATGTGCTTTTCTCACCAGTAGGAGAATGCCATCTTTGTTCAGGCATCATCCAGAGTCACCATCTACTTCCTGGACTAAGATACCGGTTTAGAGATGACAGTCATGTACATCCTGGTGCCTGTGCAGTTATTGGCTGTGTTCAGCATCATCTGACAAAGATCAGCCCCTGGTGTATCCTCTCACTTTGTGACTTGCTACACTGGGGGAGGGTGGAGACTGAGGAAATGCTCCCTCCTGCCTGCAGCAGACTGATGACATCATCTCAGCCTAGGCAAAGACACTGACTGGGCCTGAAAGATGGCTTTTTCTGATAAAGTTGATCCTGTTACTGTACAACATACATTGTGACACGTCAGGAATGTATTCATGCAAAGTTGTAAAGTAAATGACAGGTCGACTTTGAAGGCGCACATTCAAATCAGGCCGACTGCGTGTGGAAACAAGTTACCCTGAAA